CACATCAACCAAACAAACCTGCATTTTACACACATTTATTTCGAAGTATCTTTTGAAAAAGTTCATTTTCGGTTTTTTTTCTACATGTTTATGTAGGTACTCACTGTAGATCGCTCCAATACTTTTTCGGAAAGAAAAAAAAAACCGGTGTGTGACTGTTTAAACTTCAAACAATTGAATAGATTGTGTCGAGTTCTGAGTTCGTATATAATTTACTTTGAAAAAGACATACTGCTTCATTTTTTATGTCTTTCTTGCTTCTTTTTGTTAAGGTTTTTTTTTCTTTTTTTTTTCTAATTGAATGGCCTCTTTGTTTCATCGAAGAAGGAACAATTCTTTTTTTTTTCTTTGCAAAATGAAGAATGGAAATGAAGAGACACGTGATGTAACGAAAGAAACAGAATGAAATCAAAAATCAAAGCTCAAAAGCGATGATTAAACAATAAGAAAAAAAGTAACATACATCACGCAAAAAAAGACATAACCATATTCACAATTGAAAATAAGTCAGATGAATATTTCGCGTCCATAACATACACGTTCTGCTCTATGAAGAAGAATGTATGTTATTGAGTTTCAATATCCTGGTTGATGAGATAGATAGTCCAAAAATTGTATAGAGAAATATTCCATTTTGAAATAGATCGTTATCACGTTTTTCTTTTTCAAGACGTCAATTTTTATATTTGCAAAGCTAATACAAATAACCAAAGTCAGAGATTTTTCCTATTGTTAAGTTATCAGAGAATTTCTTCTCTTCCTTGGTTTTTTTTTTTTTTTTTATTTTTACTTATTAATGTGACATTTCAGAGTCAAAGACTCCTTCGTCAGACATTATATAAAACTATGGCACAATTTTTTATATGCATACATACATATTTATACCTATAAATATAATTCTAGAAAATTCTCGTTTTCTTTTCTTTGATAGTAGAACGGAAGAAGAAGATTAGCATGCCGATCAGTTTCTCCAGTATTACCGTATTGCCGTCCCATTATCAAAGAAAAGAAAAAGAAAAAAGAAAGAAAAAGAGAATTTTCTAGAATTATATATAGGTATAAAAATGTGTGTATGTGGAAAAGTATGTCATAGTTTTACATCGTGTCTGATGAAGAAATCTTTAACTCTGAAATGTCACATTAATAAATAAAAATAAAAAATCAAGGAAGAGAAGAAATTTCCTATTAATTTCCTATCTCCTTCCTTATTAAACGAAAACAATTTTCTTATTGCATGAAATCTGGCATACTTTTTTTTTTTTTACAGTAGAATCACTTTTAGAATATGATTGAATCAATCATAAAGAAGCAATCATTGCACATGAGCCACATATTTTCTTACTTTTTTTTTCATAGTTCTTCAAAAACCATCCATGGGTCTTCATGGTCTTCATCTTGTTCATTCTAATGCATGGGAAAGACATCATGAACTTCCTATAAATGGTGTTCGTTCCGAACGCCAAATGCATCATCTTATATCTAAATTAACTAAATCAACGCAGTCAGCTGATCGTATTCAACATCTCGTTTACGAGATAAAAAGATCTCCACAAGCATTCAGTGGTGATCAAGTTATAGCGTTGGCATCCTTTTTTCCTGGAACTCAACTCGTGCTCACTCTACACCTACTTGACAATCATCTGTTCGGTTTGCGATGCGATCAGGCAGCACAATTACTTCAAATGATTCTGCTTCCAGAAGAACGTCTCGAAGCTCTGCAGGTGATCGACGAGAATCTTCTTGATCCAGTAAATCGTTTTCAATTAAGAGACTTATTTCCTTCTAATCTATTACCACAAGTCGATCAAATTCTGGCTGATACTCGTGGTCAGTCACACATTTATGGATCGATCACCAGTTCTCGAGTCATTTTTCTCATTGATACAAGCAGTTCGATGAATACCGAATTTGAAACACGCTGTAGTCAATATTTCAATCGACTTCAATATATTGTTCATGATCTTCATAAGCTTCTTCATCATCGTGTACAATCACAATTCAAATTTAATATTATTCATTTTGACACGGATGTCCATTGCTGGAAGGATTCTTTAACTCTGGCAACACCTCATCATCTAAAACAAGCTGAACATTATCTAGATCATTTAGAAGCGAAAGGACAAACAAATACATATGATGCATTGAAAGTAGCACTCAGTGATGAAGAAGTAGATACAATCTACTTACTCTCCGGTGGTGAACCATCCATGGATATGAATATAATTTTATCGGATCTGAAAGTATGGTTAAAACAACGACGAAATCCATGTGTGATACATACAATCGCTTTTCTGATGGGACATACATCAGATGATCCGAAACCGAGAAAGTTTATGGCCAAGATTGCAGCAATGACGGGTGGAGTATTCAGATGTATGGACCCGTGTACTCCATTACATCAAGAATTTGATGATGATTCATACAGTGATGATCCCGATTTTAACGATGATGAATTCTTGGATTTTTTTCAAGAAAGACTCAGGGATGTTCCTACACAATTATTAGGAAACGCTGGTCTTCAGACACAACAGCAAAATTCATCTTCGACAATGACTGCAACAAATACTTTTCACTAAAAGCAATCGTCATACTCTGCTCACCAACATCCACCTTCTCCGAATTTCTGTTATCAACCTCAACAACCAGAAATATCTTCATATCAAAGACAAAGATTTTTAAAGCTATAACCTCCTAATTTCAAATCTCAGCTCAGATCTCGTTCTCGTGTACAAGATGATATTGCTATTTCATCCTCTGATCATCAGTGTGTTCATGATTGTATTCATATTCATGTAAATATTCAGCACACAGACCAAAGTCGAGATGGTCCATAATTAATGACACATTATTAATTTTAATAAATTTATTACTATCGATGGGAAAACCAAGGATACAGACATGTGACATATTTCATTCTCTTTATTAGACAGATTTCGTTCTTGATTTTCGTTTGATGTGTCTTTTTTTTTCGGAATTTCTCATTGGATATATGTTTAGTCATGATATTTTGTTAGAATCAGCAATGACTCCAATTAATCGTTATTTAGATTACTAATTTTCACATTTTATTCGTTGTAATTAGATGCATAATCAAACTAATGTAATAAAGATAATATTGCAAGCAACGCAAAATCTGCGTGTTAGTTCTCGATTCAGAGATGACTGGAGAAATACTGTATATAAAAGTGATTTGTTTTTCAGCCATCTACAAATGAAACACACCAATGGAAATATGTACATACAATGTTTTGAACTTATTCTCATGCCATCATATTAATAGTTGTCTTGATTATTCATATAATATGAGCCTAAATCGAATAGCCGAAGAGGATTGTTGGTCGAAAACGTGTAGGAACAGTCGTTAATAGCTAATGGTAATTCTTTAACACATACTTCGCGATCATCCATATACCAAAGATCATTGATTTGTAACTAGTTGGACAAGTAACTATGATCTACAAAGAACGAATAATAACATTATGAACTAAAATTAATTTACACTTCAAAATGTGCGAAAGCAAAAATTTCACAATGTTATCATCACTCGCTCGTACAGTGTTAATCAGATCAGTTTTAGATAATTTTAGTTCTTTTTTAAAAGATTTTCCATCGAATAGTCATTGTAAAAACGATTGCTAATGCTTAATATCTATTCGATATTATTTACAAGCATTGCTAATTGTAATCCAAAAAAAGGAATATATTGTTCAATTGTATCTTTTCTCTATCATCGATATTCATACGATCAGCATCTTTGATTTTCTCCATCAAGATGACGCATTTCTTGTAATGAAAGGTGATTATTTTTTCTACAATATTTACTCACTTATTCATTGACTATGAGATGCTTCATTCGATGTTTATTTTTGTTAGTGTCTTGAGCTAGAGAGACAAGTCATCTTTTCTTTTTATCGATGCACGAAGGGAAATCAGAGAATGATGGTAACAATATTTCATTTATTACTATATCAATATAAAAATATTCCAGTACATTGTCACTCTATACAATTCGTGAAAAACTTCCAGAGAACAATATCTTTGTATGTATATTATGAGTTTCTCAAATATCACAAAATTCACATTAAAATTTGAGAAATTAAGCAATCAATAATACTAGTTTCTAATTATTCAAGAAAAACAAAAAACTACGTAGTTACAAAAACGATTTTAATAACGTTCTTTTTTTTCAGCGAAATAAACTACAATTCTTTTGAGTCTATCATGTTTACCATCTAGTCAGGCTTTGAAAAGACTTTACTTTCTATTTACACTCTTCACTTTTTCCCATTTACTATTCCTCTTCTTTAAATGCTTTCATTCAAGCAAAAACATCTTTTCAGGTTGCTTAATTCAGCATAATGTAAATACATCTCTTTCAATAAGCCTTGTGTAGAAAATCAATGGTTACTCTACTCTTATCAATATTTTGTTTCGAATTGTATGTACCCAGTACAATCATAAAAGCTTTTAAAAATGCTATTCAATAAATACTGTTTTCATTTTTCTAATGCATCTAGTCAACCGTTAACGTGGAAGCAAAATACTTTTTTTTACGGAACTGACATCATATACTAAGTCGCTGTAAAATATTTGTTACTGAAATCTACAAATCGATGTGAGTATCCACCATTGAGACTGCTGCTGGCGTCTTTTTTGATTCATGTAAGTAAACATGTTGAAGTGGACTTGTTTGCCTATAAAAGCAGCAACTGTTTCGATCAAATGATATTGGTCTAATTACGACGATGCAACGATTTGTAATTCAGCTATTCGCAATACTGTAAGTAATTCTGCCATGATAAGTCAATGATTTAATACACAACATTCTTTTTTAGATATGTTATTCTCAATATTACAGGTATGAAAAACTGATCTTATTCAGTCATTTAGACGAATGCCCAATATGAGCTCATAAGGCTCATATTATTTCCTTTTTTTGTCGACTTCTTTAAATCTTTATATCCAAAAGTGTTTCATAACTCAATCTACTTGTTTATCTTATGGCCTATATTGTAGGCCAAGACACAACCAATTCAGAACTTTCTTCATGTGGATGTTGTCCATCACCATATTGTCAAGCAAAGGCAACGCCATGTTCAACAAATTCTGATTGCGAATGCTTGATGATGGCAATGACCGGTGGAGGAATGTGTACGGATACAGTTATGTCATGCAAAGATTTAGTTCCATGTGAAAATGATAATAAGACATGTTCGACACCCAATACTGTATGTGTCAACAACACTCGATGCAGCACTCCTGTTTGTTTTCCAATCAATCGTGCGTCATCACGACGGTGTCCACCGTTGACTTCAACAATTTCAATCACCACTACAGGTGAGAAGGCTGTCGAGATTTTCAAAAAAAAGTAGAACTGAGAATAAGTAAATTAGAATCAACCCATTTCGGCATTCACACATTAGTCGTGCTATCTTCGCTGCTCTGAGTAATCAGTAAAGTCTATATTCAAGTGTCGAATGATTCTCGCTCGATTCTCTCTGAATTTGGACAGTTAAAAATATTGAAGCTTGCTGCAATTTTGCTGGAATTGTGTTGAGTTTTGATGAAAAAGATAAGAGAGAATAATAGAGAACTGAAAAATTTTATTGCTATAAGTCTCACAATTTCCTTAAAAAGTTACGAGAGAAACACTCATGTTTTGAGCAGCTTGTTAATTATAGCTTTTTTTACACTGTAAAGTGATCTACTTTTGATTGTGTTTGTTTTTGATTGGCAAACGCACTAAGAATCGATACAGATGCTGCCAAAAAATACAAAAGATGTTTTTTGAGACATTTTATCTTATTTTATAACCAGTCACCTGCCTTATTTTTCAATTAGACTATACTTTGTAGCGTTAGCTATGCATAAGAATGAAAAGAAGTCCGCAGGGATGGTTGAGACTTTCTCCTGGTCTGGTTATAGTAAATAGTTTATGCTGTATTCGTTGATATTAGTTTAAGGGTGCTGGATCGAGAATGGATCTCGTCATACGGTTCGGTATCATTTTATGGATTCGACTCACTATCAATATATCATAAATTCAGTCTTCCATGAGCATCAGCCTTCAGTATGCCTAACGAGTTTTCTCCTCATCCTCGGCCATTCATCCTTCTTCATCCTCACTCATCCCGTGAAAGGTTTCTGACTGATGAAAATCAACTTATAAAGTCAAAAAAGATTTCCAGCATAATCACGAAAGTTAAAAGTTTCGAAATTTGGATCCTGAAATTGAAACCGTAGGAAGTATTGTGATATATCTAATTTTTTCAGTGTACTGCTGCTTTTTAACGCTTCTATAACGAAGAATATACGCTTTTTCTTCCTTTTTTTTCGATTCCATATCTACTTTTTTTGAAAGTATACCGGGATTCTTCATGTCTCATTTTTACTAATGAGAGCATTTCTTGATATGTAACGCTGGATTTGACGCGAGGTTATATGCATTACGTAGCTCTGTATAAACAATTAATTATCTGGAAAGAATTACTGTCCATAGTTAGTTCTTTGGATGGATATACAATTGTGAGTGCCATTTTTGATATAAGGTCACGGTCCCTCACGTCATCTTGCAAACAGAATTTTGAGTTTCGGTTTCACGTTTTGAACAAAGGACACGATCAGTGAGACTACTTGATGATAAATGTGTCACTTATTTTTCTATTACCTCTGCGGACATACGAATATTGGAAGGTTCGTTATGTAAAAAAAAAAAAAAAAGAAATTTTTTCCTGTTTCTATTCATGTCTTTACAAATTAATCGGTAAATAATAAATATTATATGCACTTATTTACTAGTAAAAGTAAAGATAACATTTCCTTATTCATTAGTGAATAGTCGATATGTATTTACCTATCCTACTAGAAAATGATAACTAGATATAGTTCTCAGTAAATAGATCAAACTTTCATCTACTTGACTTTATATATTTATGATCAAGATAAACAAATTGTGGTCGATTTAATTTTTACCATCTTCTTAGTCAAATAAAGTCCTATGGTCTAGTAGGATGTCTAGTTGTTTCCCTTTGACGATGACTACTAGTAAAACATCGAATAAGACTATACGAAATGTTAGATTTGTTTTTATCATTACATCAGTTAATACATCATATTAGTATTTTGAAAAAAAAACACAGTTTTTCAAGTCCTTTAATATTCAGAAAAAATCGACAGGTCTTCTATTTCTGTGTGTATAAAGTTCATCTAGGTGCATGACATACGAAAAATTCTCTAGAGAAAGGAAACAACCTGGAATTTAACTAGTTGCACAAATAGTGTGAACAAAGGATGATTAGAAAATGATAAAAATTGTATAATCAGAAGCAACTCCTTACCTATACTGTCCAGTGAAGACTTGACTACAATCATAAAAACTCCGATTAGATCGGTGCAGTTCAATTAAATAACGAGCAAGAATGTTCTATAGGTACAAAATACGATAGACAATTGTATTTCATATGACAAAGCGTTTCGAAGACAGAGAAAGTTAATGCTTATTAGAGTAACAAAATGTTTCATAAGAAAGATTATAAATTGAAAAATTCATTGATTGATATTTGTCACGATTTATTATTGTAAAATATAATACGTATAGAATTATTTTGTGAAATATAATTGTAAATAGGTGCTGAAGCATGTTAAGAGAAAGTTAAATCCTCGCTGCGCCGCAGACCATGACAGATATCTCGACCTGTTTGCCTTTCGAGATGGTCACCGATTATGATCAATGTCGAGAAGGTCGTCATCTGCAAATAAAGTGCATTCATTGTACTTTATACTTTGATTTCACGAGAATTTCGGTGAATGCTTTTTTTTGCGATATGAGAGAGCCATTATCTGCAATAGAAATCATTTTGGTGAACATTTATTGAAGAAAAACATTGTGAAACATATTTATGCGACTGAAACTGAAAGATTCCCTGAATACTATGCAAACTATGATAAATAAAGATGCTGTATCTTTAATTTTCTAACACTTTCTATTTCAGCAGCGACAATTACAACAACATTCAATGCTTGTCTGAATGGAACTCGCTGTCAAAATAATGTGAGTCTTCTAAAGTTCAATTTGAATTTTTATTAGCGAAATGAAGCCAAGCACTACCTTAGTTGAATAAAAGCCCTCGTGAGAAGTTAGCGATTTTCATTTTTTTTCAGAAAAAATAACAGCTTTTCAAATGTTGCCATATGAGACAGTACACACGAAATCAATGATATATATATATATGCATATATATGTGAAAGAGTTGGAAAAAAATTACTCAAAAGTATTGTTTCGAGGTTTTTTAGCATATTATTCACATTTGAAGTACAGAAAAAAACCGACGAAGCAATCACGAAATCAGTTGTTGAGAGTGTGGCTGTAGCTGTGTTTGGCTGTTGTGTGCACGCACATCATACTTCACATTCCCACTCACGTTCTCATCCTCATCCGCATCCCTTATCCTCGGTCGTTTTAATGTAGTCAATGGATTATAGTATCGTGTAGAGAACTCAACAGTGAATCATTACATAAAAATGTGTTTAATTGTATCTAAAGAGAACAGAGGTAATAAAGATCAGTGACGATAATAAGTTCTTTGTTTTTGCATTATACATTACAAAAATTGTATATTTCTTCATGTTGATGATACATACTTTGGAAACCTTGACATAAAGAGATCTTAAAAGCCTCGTACTACATAAGAATGCAGAGGTTTTGACGTTTGTTCTATTTATGCGTACAAGGCATCCAGTCATGATGCACGAAATTCTTTTTTTATTGAACATCACATAGAGTTCATTTTATAAATGAATTTTTATTGATCAATGGCAAGTTTCTTGACAGTTATAGCTTTTAGAATTTGAGTATAGTTTGAATTGAGCCCTGTTTCTAATAGGACAAATTATAAAAGATAAAATTTAGCGTAGTTTTATTGGTTTTATTATATTGACGGAGTAACTGTTAAATGTATGCTACAGGGTACATGCCAACCGTCGGGAAATACTTTCATTTGCCTGTGTCCGCCAACACATTTCGGTCCATTATGCGAATATCGTGGCATCGGAACCGATTTAACTGTGCTCGAAACAATTCTCAATGGTTCACTAACAAATTATGATAGAACTGTTGAAAGAGTACTCAACCGCTCCAATTGGACCAATATGGTTGCTGTTGTCGATGTTACCGGTTCAATGCAACCATGTGCAGCAGCCGTTTATAAATGGTTGAAATTATCTTACGATAAACTAAATTTGATCAAATACTATGTCTTCTTTAACGATGGTGACAATAAAGCTGATGCACTCAAGGTAATTGGTTCTACCGGAGGTATCTACGGCACACCAACTACTAATTTAAATACAACACTAGCCGTGATGCAAGCAGCTATGAAAAATGGTAATGGTGGTGACGGGCCCGAAAATGATATTGAAGCAATGTTATATGGTATCAAACAATGTCCGACATGTACAAATTTGATTCATATTGCTGATAACCAAGTGACGCCACGTGACATGGTTTTACTTTCGAATGTGACTCTGCCAGTGAAAGTCATTACATGTCAATTAGGCTCATCTTCTGTTAATGCGAATTTAATCAATATTGCTACTCGCACAGG